ATGAAATTCCCATCATTCACTAACACGGAATCACAGAATATTTACATATTAATAGGTCATCATTTGCATAATTGCTATCTGCTGATGTTCAACCTGCCATAGAAGGTACTATTATATAAAAGAATTTCCTCCTTAATTATCCAAATTATGTCTTCATTTGCATAATTTGCAGTTATTTATGCACATCTCTCTCTGAGCTACATACACACCAAAATGATGAAAATACATTTTCCTTTCTGGACTTATCAGCTAACAAGCTGCTAGGAGGACAAAGGCCACACCACTTATTCCTGACAGGAAAAGCTATCTGTCCCCAAAAGTGAAGATCATAGAATGTTTAGGACAAAAGGTCTCATTTCGGTATTCTTCCGCGTGGGTACTCTAAAGTAGATCGTACTAAAAATTAAATGCGTGTATGGATGTGTGTTTATATCCGCCAGAAATTGCATTTTAGCTAAGTCAGTTGGCGTAAACCGCTTGTGATATGAGAGGTTGTTTGTATGTGCTAAAATTAGTGGGTAAGTGTTGACATCCGCGCGACAGGTCGGATGTTTACACGCTGTTGTGATGGGTAATGCGGTCAGGAGGTAGCAGCGCTGGAGGACCTCTGGCGGAGAGTGGCCAAGTGCAGTTTATAAATAAATAAAAAGAGATTGTTGGGTTAGATCTGGTTGGGAATTTTTTGACGTAATGTAGGGCCATTGTGCTCAAAATTGATTGGATAGACTAGATGGCTGTCATTCAAATTATTGGGTTTTGGCCTATGTAAAGTTACGTATTTTGCCATAGGCGGCCATAGTTAACAAAAACTCAAGAATGAGACCAAAAGATATCAAAGCCGGAAGTTCTGCTGCAGTACCAAGGTCAGTCAACAGGAGGCCCATATTTGACCTTGACCTTTGTGTTTCTATGACCTACCAGCATGCAAAATACCACAGCACAGTCCATAAAGATGTTCTTAAGTTATGCTGACTACAAATGTGCGGAAACACACACACGCGCGCACGCTAAAAACAATACATTTTTCATGGAGGTAAAAAGGAACTGTTCGTAATATACAACTACACACACACACACACACATGAATCATACATACACACAGACACACCTTCATAAATCATTAAGTACCGACCTGTGTTATGGTAGTAGACACAGCCCGCACAGTAACAGTGTCCTGCAGTGTTCCCACACCAGTTGCCCGAAGAGCAGCATGGCCAGGTACTGTCAGGGTCACACTCAGCGGTCCTCCCATCACCTGTAGTGTAACCGTCTCCACAGCGGTAGTCGTCCCGCCATTTCTGAGTAACTATCAGGAGAAAAGATAGACAAACAACAGTAGTGAGATGTTTGTGGCGATCAAATTCTTGAGACACCGTGACGAAACACATAAAGGCTTTGGGACGGGAGGGGGGGTGCTCATTCAGCCCCTCCCCCATCAGAACTCGAGAACAGTATATCGCATGACCGCCAAATTTATGGTGTACTAGTAATAATGAATCATCAACAATTTTGATAACATTAATCGTAATATGACGTCATTATGACGTCATTTACGTGATTTATTGCCTAAAAACGGTTTTCTCTTAAAACTTAATTGTGTACAACACAGGTTTAACAAAAAATGTTTATGATATAATATTAAGGTCTACTTAATCATATGTTGCCCATAGCAACACCAGTGACGTCATAAAATGACGTCATGCATAGTAAAACTGTCCGCCATCTTGGATCGTCAAGATTTGATTTTCGAAAATACTTTTTCAAAATAAAGCCTTACACTAAAATGGAAATAGACTACAGCGGTTTAGATTAACATTTTCTGTACCAAAAAAATCAAAGTTGGGATAAATTTTTTAGGAAAATAACCGGAATTTACCTAATCTAATTATATGGTCCGCAATCCTTGATTTTGGCCAATGATGTCATCAAATTAGCATAAATTATGCATAATTATTGATAAAATTACATGCAATTATATAAGATGTTACTTATATTAGAAAGCATGTGTAAATTAACTTGCCTGTCAGAAACCCGTTGGCATAGCAACGCGAAAAATTGTTAATTAATCTCACTTCTTTAAAATTGTTGGCAACAATATTTTAGGAAAAGCCACCAAGTTTGGTGGCCCTAACACAAGCCGTTCGGACGTTATCTGACATCAAATTTGGCGCGGGCACTTTTACCCCCAAGTGTGTAGATAGGGTTAACTCGATCGCTACAATGTTCTACCTGCGTTCAGGCACAAACTGGATTCATGCACAGTAGGTTTTACTCTCTGAGGAATTTTGAAACTAGCTTCTGGAGTAGAGTATTATGTTTTGACCTTTCCTACCAACAGATAAACCTAGTCTCACCTTCGCGTTTTGTGGTGTTGGAGACTGTTGAGAACGTGGGGACAGAGCTGCCACCTCCAGTTGGTACAGAGGTAAGAGTATACACAGTGGTAGTGGTAGAAGTCTTCCTCGTAGTAGTAGTATTACCAAACTGTATTGGACGAATAAATAGCAAAGTTCTTTAAATTACCCAGATGAAGATGACAGACGGCCATCGAAACGTCGGCTCGTAAAAAA